ATGTATACATATGTCTGACTGGGACATTGTGCTGTACACCAGAGATTGACACATTGTAATTGACTGTACTTCAATTAAAAAAAAAAAAGAGAAGAACAACAGAAGTCTCCCAAAATGCCTGGTGATCAGAAAGACAGAAGACGTGGGGTTACTGATGCTCATAGACACCAGCCCCCCAAGTGCCCACTTCCAGATTTCTCACGTGCAGGAAGAGTATTCCCCTGTGTTTTAAGTCATGCCTGTTGGTGGGTTTCTGTTGTCTCCAGCTCTCCCAGCCCCCCACCCCATGCCCACGCCCAGCTTACCTGGCAGTATTAAAAATGTGCTGCTGCTTGTTCTCCTTGGGGTTCAAGATCACCACCACACAGCTGGGGAGAAAGAGGAAAATGTGCCCAAACTGAAGGGAGTACTGGGGTCCAGGGATGACTCTATTCCCAACACAAGAGCCCACACAGAAACAAGGCTCTTTCTGAACAGATGATTCTCTTTGGTCTCCTCCTCCTCCAGGTATCTATGCTGAGAATTCTAGGGCACTTAACATCATTGCTAATATTAATATATTCTTAAAGAGAAGCCAACACTTGCTCTGTGGTCACTATTCTGTCAGGCTCTGGGCTAATAAAGACCTGCTGTGTACAATCCCTTTAAATCCTCACAATCATCAGGTGAGGTGAGGAATCCCATTTCATAGATGATGAAACTGAAGCCCAGAGAAGGAAGTCCTTTGCCCAGGACTACCCAGCAGGCCAGGGGCAGGGTGGGGATGTGAATCCACACCTGGCAGATTCAAGAGCCCACCCTTGTCTTCTATTCTGGCTGTTTCCCAAAGACTCAGTAACAGGTACTGCTCATCGGGAATTACTATGGCCCTGCCCTGCCCTGCAAGGGTGAGGGGGTCCCTTCAGTGCCTAGAAAAATCCCAGGCTAGACCTGTATTTGTGAAATAAATGGTTGCAGATGTCCTTCAGTCCTCTCAACTAACTACGCTGTTTTATAGAAGCAGAGGCTTGGGCGGGGAGGGGGGGCGTACATGGCAGAGCTGACACAAATCCAGGTTGCCTGACACCAACCATGGCTTGGATCTTAACCACCTGTCTTTCCCAGAATCACTGCCACCTCCCACCCACAGTCACAATATGACTTTCATAGCACTGACACATGCCAGGTGCTGTGCTGCACACAGAGGGGCCTGTGGGATCCTTCCCACAGCCCTCAGAGGTCAGCAGCATTATGTGCATTCTACAGAGGGAAAAGCGAGGCCCAGAGAAGACTTCAGGCTCCAAATTCAGGACCAGTGATTAGAGGCTGAGGCCCAACCACTCACTCACCCTGCCAGGTAGGCCACATTGCCTGTGCTGGGGTCACAGGTTAGGCCACTGCTGTTCTGGGCTGTGATGCCAAGCACCTTCTCAAGTGATACCTGCAGGGAAAAGGTCTGAATCAGAACCACCTGCCACAGCAGGCATCATGTGGCACAGCCACCTCAGCCACCCATTCAGTCCCTGTTACTTCCCACATGCTTCCACAGTCATCAACCAGCAGCCACTGCTTGTTCTCCTCAATGTCATTGACAAATACAGTGCTAGGTGAAGGACACAGAATGGTGGGGAAGACAGACAAAAATCTCTGCCCTCCCGGAGCTCACATTCTGGTGGTGATGGAAAATGAACCAAAGAAATATATAAAACAGACGTCAAGTGATGATAGAAGCATTTGAGAAAAACTAAGCAGGGAACGAGACTAGGAGTGCAGAGGAAGGAGAGAAGACGTCACTGAGGTGACCTCTAAGTCTCTAAGCATTTTATTTGGATGAAAGAGAACCCACAACAAGCCAAGGGAGACAGTGTTATTACCCCTCTTTTACAGATGAAGACACTGAGGCCCAAGACCCCATACCTGAGGAGTGGCAAGGCTGGGATACAAACCCAGGCAATCTCTGGCTTCAAAGCCAGCACTCTGTGCAGGGCAGACACAGTGAGCAAAAATGGACACTGCCCATTCCCTCGCAAAATTCACAGTCTAGAGGTTCAACAAGTAAAGAAACAAGTGAATAATCACACTTGAAATCTGAAAACTCTCTAAGCAAAGTCAGTCAAATGAGCCAGTCCCCATCATGGTTGATTCAACACTTCAGAATTGTGGTATTTGCATATTATGAAGAGACTAGTTTCTAATTGTTATAAAGTAAAATATTCTCAAGCAAGGTGTTGGCCTCAGAAATGAGAGGCAAGCATAGGCTAGTAATAACTAATGTTTACTGAGCACCCAACCAGGAGCCAGGCACTCTCTGAATCCCTATAACTGTATTAACTTGTTTAATGCTCACAATAACCTTGTAATGTGGTCATTATCATCATCGTTATCTCCACCTTACAGATGAGGAAACAGAGGCCCAGAGGGGTAACCCATATGGAAGGAGCGGTGCCAGGACTAACCCAGGCAATCAGGCAATGGCAGGCACTCACGCTGTTTTTTTAATCTGTTAATCAGCATTATTGGACATTAGCAATAGCTGGTCATTTTTAGACTAGGTCTTTTGCAAGCCAGATGGACTCTGCACTGCCAACCAAGAAAAATAAATAAATGACATCAGTCACCCAAAATACACAATCCTAACACCAATAGAGTATTTGCAATGTGCCAGGTGTTGTTCTAAGTAGTTAAGATACGTGAGCTTACTTAACCGTCACAAATACTCTATAAGGCAACACTAACATTATTATCCTCATTTTACAGATGAGAAAACTGAGGCACAGAAAAGTTCAGAAAAGGAGGAACAGAATTAAGATTAAACCCCAGGCAGTGTGAGGGAATAACTCCGTGGTAGAGTGCATGCCTAGCATGCACAAGGCCCTGGGTTCAATCCCCAGTACTTCCTCTAAAAATAATTAAGTAAACCTAATTAACTCATCCCTCCACAAAATAAATAAATACATAAAGCCCAGGCAGTCTGGGTACAGAGGTGGTGTTCTTAACCACCTGGCTATACTGCTTCTCTGAAATGACTAATGTTTTCCTCTTCTTTATACAGTTTAGACCTTACAAGGCACTTTCAGAAACATACAAGATAAGGGCTATGAAGTAGAGGGTGCTGGTCAGAGGTTAAGGTGGGTGTCTGCTTGCGGCTGGAGTTCAAGGCCTCTCAGGGTAGGGATATTCAGGCTGAGACTCTGGGGATGAGGAATCAGCCCGGTAAACTGCAGGAAAAAGCCCTGGTGAAAGAAGGCTCACCAGACACAAAGGCTAGGAGGCGGAAAAGAGCCTGGAGCCTCCGGAAAACAGAAAGCAGGCTAGTATGAACCTTGATGAGAGGGAGGAGCAGGGAAGTATGGCCAGAGAGCTGGGCAGAGGCCACCCGTCTGGCACCTTGCAGTCAGGTGTGGGTGATGTAATCAGAGTGCAGCAGGAAGCCACAGAGCAGGAATGAAATTCACCAACAGTTACCACTTATCGACCCTTTATCTGGACTTTGTGCCAAGTAGGTCATATTCACAATTTCATTTCATCTCCCTGCAACACCATGGTTACTGTTTATCTCCATTTTATAAAAACAGACTTTGTTGCTCAGGGAGTTGGAGAACAGTTTTTTAAATTGCTGCTGTGCTACTGGAATTTCTTCTACCTACTCTAAAATCTGTTTCTGAGTCTCAGGATTTAGGGAGATGTTCTATACGCCGCCCCCCACCCGCACCCCCACCCGGGGCCGTGCTGCTGAGATTTTACAAATATTACTCACATATTTTCCATAATTTAGGGTGGCAATATGGAATAAGAATCCCACCTTGGTAAGGAAGAAGGAAAGAGAAGGCAGGGGTGAGAGAAGGCAAGATAGAGCTGAGGGAGAGTTGGAATAGGTTGCACTAGGGACTGAACGCTGGTAGGGATACGAAAGACCCAGCAGGGGGTGAGATCAACGAAAGTGGAAGGGCCCAGAGAGACGTCTAATGGTGACGCAGGAAGGTTGGACTCAGAGGTGATTAGCAAAACTAAAGTGCCCTCCGAGGTACAGGGCCAGGCAGAAACCCCGGGAATACTCCAGGGGCTGAGGGTGGGGCCAGGAATGATGAGCAGTACCCCAAAGAGGAGGAGACGGGACAGGAGGAGGAGCCTGGGCTCAGGGGGCGGGGCTCAGGGGACCAGGCGGGCCAGAGAGCAGCTTGAAGGGTACAAGCTGGGGGCTGATGGGCGGGGCCAAAGATCTAAGGGCGGGACCAAGGAAGGCCAAGGGAACCTGGAACTGGGATGGGCAGGGCAAGCAGCTCCTCACCCGGTTCTGCACTGTATCCTCGGGCGCCGCCAAGAGTCGCGTCCGCCGCCGGAGGCAGACCGGTGGAGCGGGGGGCGGGGAGGACTGGGCTCTCCGCGCCGGAACTCCCGCCATGACGGATGGCAGCTTCTCGACTACATCGTTCCGCGCGTAACCTCCGGGCCCCAAGGCCGCCATCGTCGCGCCGGAGTCAGGCGACCGTTACACTCCTCAACCGCCGCCGCCGCCGCCACGGCTCACTCGAATAGCGAACGTCCGCGGGAAAGCCGGCTCCGCCGCCCATTGGACGCAGCAGGCCGCTGGTCTAACCAATCTTAGGGTTGCCGGGCAGCTGTTTTGACCAATGAGGGCTAAGGGGCGGAGCAGAGTGTCTGGCAAGGTGGAGCCACCGTCCGTCAACTTGATGCTTGATCGAGCGTTGTAGGGTATTTTTTATCCCGTCTGTGTTTTCATCATTCACTAAATATACAGGTCTTAACTTTCGAGGCTAAGGCTAAAGCCGTCTCACCTCGCTTTTTGCTGACCTCCACTCCACCCCAGAGTGACTAGCCCCACAGTGGCAGTCGCCCGGATGTAAGAGTAGGGTGGAGCTTGAAGAGACTGAAGGGTTGGCGCAGACTCAGAAACGCCGTGACGCTGCCCTCCCTCGACACGTGATAAGGTCCGGTTGGCTAAGAGCTGGTTTTGCGCAGACGTGCTCGCTTTTCACCATCTGCCAAGTGATGAGGGCGTAGCTGTTGTAGCGCGGCAGGGTGCGTAGTACGCAGGCGCTCCCTACCCTTCCCCCCCGGCACGTGACGAGGCACTAAGGGCCGTCACGTGAGGCAGGCAGAGAGCACGCGGGCGGGGTGGGGTTTGGCGGCGCTCGGCGAGGACCAAAGTAAGGCTGCAGACCCGGAAAAACCCAATTGGGTTGGACAGCCATGCCCAAGTACTGCAGGGCTCCGAACTGCTCCAACACTGCGGGCCAGCTGGGCGCGGACAACCGCCCGGTGAGCTTCTACAAGTGAGCACAAGCGAGGGGCGGGGCTTGCAGGGAGGCGGGCCCTGTGGGGGCGGGGCCCGAGGATAAATACGCTGAGCAGGGCACCTGGCCCAGCTTGCAGGCGTCTAGTAAATAAGGTGGAAATATGGTATTCCCGGCGTTTCACTAGCAATAAACACGATACCTGTAAAGGTGCAGATGCGTAAAACAGCAGGGGTAGACGATTAACTGCAGGTGGTGAACGGGGCGAGCGGAAGAAGGGGAGGGTTGTGTAGAGAAGTGAGTATGGTCCAGGCTCGGTAAGAGCCTACAACTGCCCGTTCACCATCTCTACTAATTAGAGTCATCTCAAATTCAAAACACCCGAAACCAAGCTCCTGATTTTGTCTCTCCCAAAACCTTCCATAACGTTTCCTATCTTAGTTAATAGCTTTCCATTTTTCATGTTGTTCAGGCTAGAAACCCTTAGCGTCATGCTTATCTCCTACCTTTCCTCAAACCTGAGAAAGCAAAAATTAGCCTGAACTGTTAAAAAAAAAAGGCACCCCCCATCATTTATTTAACAGACACGGGAAAAGCCAGCTGAAGAGTTAATAGGAAAAAATATTGTTATATTTTTCTCAGGGACGTTGCTGCACATGTAAAGTGAAGAAACTCCTCATCTTTGAATGACTACTGCTTTCTTACTAGGAAGCTTTGTTTTCTAAAGTCATAGGTTATCGCAGACTTTGCTGTTTGAAATTACATCAGTAAGAATGAAACATCTTACCTAGGGCCGGGAAAAGTTGTCACTTTGACACAGAATAGCAACCTTGGTTTACAATCCAGGTGCTGAGCTTTGCGTAAGGGGTTTCTGGACACAGTATTTCACATCTATCCAAACTTTATTGCTTCCAAGGAGACAGGCCCCTGAGCCCACTTTGCCATCTAGACCTGATTTTGATCCCACAGTTCTCTTTGCTTTGAACCTATCTAAACTCTATTTCATTTACACCTCACCTGAATTTCACTCATCTCCCAAACTCAAAAACTTTTTTCCTCTGTTTGGCAAGGCTTCCTCACAGGACCTCTGGTGTGCAGTCTCCCTTATTGCCCTGGTAAATAAACCAATTTCTTGGACTGCACCTTCCAATTGCGCTATTTTATTGGCCTCTTCATTCGTCAGCCTGCTCCCACAGTCTGTCCCCCACACACAGTCACAGGGAAACTGTGAACACCAGAGTCATATCAGGGCCCTCCTTATCTCAGGTCCCTCCCCTGACTCCTACTTGACTCTGTAAAAGCCAAGACAGGCTGGCACAGGCACAAAACAGGCCTACAAAGTCTTACAGGAGCTGATCCCCTTATCTCCCTCCTGCCCCTCCCTCAGTCTGCCTGTTGGATATTCCGCTAGCTCATCAGGCACATTATTGCTCCAGGGCCTTTGCCTGTGCCATTTCCTCTGCCTGGAAAGTTCTTCCCTTTATGACCACCACTCTGTAAAATGATAGCCCTCTCCCGGTCCTACATATTCTCACTACTTGCCTCCTGTTTTATTTTTCCCTTTAACACAACTGTCCGGCATACCACATATTAGATATATTCATTTATTGCCTCCTCCACTAGAATGTCAGCTCCAGGAAGGCAGGGATTTTTGTCTGTCTGACTCCCTGGGGTGTCCTCAGCACTTATAACAGTGCCTGGCACATAGTGGATATTTAGTAAATTCTTTTTGGATGGAATAAATGAATGCATTTCAGATGGGCTCCCCAGGAAACCCAGCACTGTGTCCCAGCTATCCCTTGAGGGACCCTGGTTCAGGGAAGGAGGAGTGCAGAGGAGTCTTTGAACCTGAATCAGTATGCCCAGACTTGCTTTTAAAAATCTATCACTCTGGCACTGTTTATTAATTCAGCAGCTCTAGGTGTCTCCTGGAGTAAGTAAGCCCCTGCTGGACACCGGGACCCTGACCGATCTTGCTCTTGCTCTTGCTCATGAGTAGGTGAGGGGTCAGACACTGAAGAACTGAGTACACAACTTGATTCGTTCTTTTCCTCAGCACTACTGCTCCCAATCTAGTCCCTTAACCCATCCATTGACTCTACCTACCAGTGCATCCCCAACCTGCAGCAAGCACAGCAAAACACCTAACACCTTGGCTATACAGTTATAAATGCAAATGGCAGGCTCCTAACTAAACTATTAGGAAATAAGAGGGAAAAACCCACAATCCAGGTCTGACCACTTCTTAATCACCTCCACTGTCGCAGCGTAGTCCAGGCTACCATCATCTCTTAGCGGGACACTGTGATAGCTGCCTGCTAGTCTCCCTGCTTCCCATGCTTGCCTCCCTTACAGCTACAATAGCTTACTTAGAGAACACTTATTGTTTGCCAGGTACTCTTCTCAGTGCTTCACATATAATAATGAGAACAGTGACAACTCTACTTAGCAGCCAGTAACCATATAAAAAGCAGTTCCTGTCTGTTTAAATCCCACCAGGCTGTTCCTCACCCCGGCTAAGCCATTCCCACCTCAAGGCCCCTCCCTGAATTTTGATAAGAGTTGAGTGAGAAGCAGTTTTCAAAGGAGATTCAAGAGCAGGCATAGATGCTAGCCCAGAAGAAGGTGAAACATTGAAGGAAGTGACTCCTAGGAGATAACTGGAAAGTCCTGCCTGGGTGCCAGAGGAAGCATTCATTAGCTGTGTTTTAGCCTCTTTTAGGAACAACTGACAGTCATCTCTCATGGGGGAGCCTGTCATGCAGGAATTGCATCTGTCTGGCAGTTCACAAAGTCCTGAAATGATAGCAGCTTAACCAAATTATGGGGTCTGTAGGAATCAGTATGGTTACATTATGGTACAGTAACAAACTCACAAAATCTCAGTGGCTTACTGCAACAGAGATTTATTTCTCACTCACACTAGGATCCTTTGCAGGCCATGTGTGGCCCTGCTCTGCTGTATCTTAACTGGAGACTCTGGCTGAAGGAGCTGCTCCTACATAGAACGTTGCTGGTCTTTTTGTGTGTGTATGTGGAGGGATGGATAGGAAGAGAAAATAGAGAGAATCACCCCATGGCTCCTGGTACACTGTATGTTTAGAAGTGGCCCATGTCACTTTTACTGCTCTGGCCAAAGCAAGTCTATAGCAAGCCTCAGGTCAGTGGAGTGGAAAATGTGTATCTTAGTGTGGGGCAGGGTAGCAAATGTTTTCAACAATAGTACAGTCTACCATAAGGTTTGTTTTTCTCTCATATGCAACAAGTAGAGAGGTTGGCAGACCAACACTGGTGTGGCAGCTCCAGTCATCAGGGATGAGGGTCCCATCTTTCATGTCATCCTTGGCATGAGCTTCTGCCCAAGATGGCTGCCGGGTGTCCCAGCGATCAGGCCCTACGATTCCTGTTAGAGAGGAAAGAGAAGGGAGGAAGAGCAAAAGGGGCTCAACTCTGTACTGAGCCAGTCCCCTTACAAAGCCAACCCAGCAAGCCAACCCGAGGGTGAGTTCTTCATCATTGGTTACACCCAATTCCCAGCAAAGGAGGCTGGGAAATGTAGTCTTTTAGCTGGGCATTTAACCACCCTGAAGACATTTTGAGTTATATTAGTAATGAAGAAGAGAACTAGCAGTGCTCTAGATGGGATGACCGGCAAGACTGAAATATTCTACAAAAGTGGACTGGTTGTCCGCTTAAGGTAGATTTTTAGAGGAGGACATTTTCCACTATAAATGTTGCCATCCGGAGAAACAAAAGAGAATGAAAACAAGATCAAATTAGGAAGAGTTGTTTGGTTTTTTAAAAAATGATACTCGCTTTCCTCCTTTGCCCCTTGAGCTACTTCTGATTCCGTTTCAAGGTACCATCCTTCACGTTCAAGGTACCATCCCAGATGTCCCACACAACACACAAGTATTCACTGGCCAGAACTTAGTTACAGGGCCCCACCGATGGCAGAGGAAGCTAGGAAACAGTTGTTCAGCAGGGCACAACATTGTGGCCTCGGGAAAAGTTGTGGAAGTTGCAGTTTGTTAGTTAAGGAAGAAGACGAGCATGCGTACGGAGTAATCAGTTGGCAGTCTCTGCCCAGGAGCGGGTGGGAAGTGCTGCTACAAGGGATTTTATGTGCCCGTCCAGGCAGAATGAGGCTGGTGAAAGCATTTGGATCTCAGATTGAGGCTGAAGGAACTGCAGCAGCCAGAGTCCCTGGCTCTGTGCCTGGGGGTTCTGCTCTTTGGATGCTGCGGCTCTTGTCTGAGTCAGCCCTTGCCCCCCCCCACTTCCCTCTCTTCTGCCTTTTGCCAGAGAAGTCTTGCTTTTCTGCCCCTGCCACCAACCTCTGCCCACCCGATCCACCTCCTCCCCGAGAGTGGCCTCTTTAGTTTCTTATGTGTCTTTCCCAGTGTTTCTCCATGCAAATACAAGCAAATCTGAATGTATGTTCTTATTTCCCCCTTCATTAGTTTTCTGTAGCTGCTGTTACAAACATGGTGACTGAACAGGAATTATTCTCTCACAATCCAGATCAGTTTTACTAGGCCAAAATCAAAGGGTCAACTCTACACACACATATGTGCATAGAAAACTGGCAAAATCTGAGTAAGATTTGTGTAGTTGTACCAACGGCAATTTCCTGGTTTTGTTTTTGTTGTTGAGACATTACTGTTGGGGGAGACTGACTGAAGAGTACACAGGACTTCTTTGTACTTCTTTTTAAGCTTACTGTGAATCTATTTCAAAATAAAACAATAATAACAAAAAAAGAAATCTTGTGAAATCAAGGTGTCAGCAAGGCTGCATTCGCTGGGAGGCTCCAGGGGAAAATCTGTCCCTTGTATCTTCCAGTTTCTGGTGTCGTCAGGCATTCCCTGGCTCGTGGCCATCACTCCAATCTCTGATTCCACGGTCACATTGCCTTCCCCTCTTTCATCTGTGGTAATATATTCTTCTGCCTCCCTCTTATAAGAATACTTGTGATTGCATTTAGGGCCAATGGGGATGATCTAGGATGATTTCCCCGTCTCAAGATCCTTAGCTTAATTACATCTTTTGTCATGAGTTGTAATATTCACAGGTTCCAGGGATTAGGATATGGATATCTTTTTTGGTGGGGGGCATGACTCAGCCTACCACAATTGCTAAATGCTGATATATTACTATATTTGGAACCTTGCTTTTTTCACATAATATTTGCCAAAACAGTAGCATGTCAGTTCATACAGTGCCTTCAGTCTGTTTCACAGCTGTATAGTATTCCTTTGTGTGCACATGCCAGAGTTTATTTTTCTCCTAAGAATAGTGCTGTTCCCCACTCTCTAACACTCCTTACTCTTCCTTTTTAACAAAGAGAGAACAGCCAGTAAAGGTATCCGGGTGTTTTTATGGTTAACTCCTATTTATGGAATTGATACTGGTTTTCCATTTTCAGGGGGTATAAAGTTTCTAAAAGGTATCCTTGTTTAATACTTAAAGTTGGTCCATTTTAAGAAAAATATTAAGTAAAGTCACAGATATGGAAGACACTATGAAGGTGGGATGTGGATGACGGACTGTATTAGTTACCTAATGCTACATACAAACTATCCCCAAAATTAGCAGCTTAAAATAAACCTTTTCTCACAGTTTCTGGCAGCTTCCATAAAACAGAGACTTGCCCGGCCTTAATCATGTGGCCACCCCTAGCTGCAAATGAACCTGAGAAATGAGCTCTTTATTGTGGGCAGCCTTGAGCCCAGGTCTAAACAGAAAGTATATTGCTATAAAAGAGGGCAAAAACAGATGTTGGGGACAATGGCACCAAGTCACAGGAGTAGTGGGACACCTGTAGAGGTTGCCTTTTCAGATAATCCCCACCCACTCCCACTGGGAAAGCTTTTATTTAGTTCATTTTATAAAAAAAAATTTTTAATTAAAAAAATGTTTAATTGTGGAAAGACATATAAAATCTACCATATTAACCATTTTAAAGTTCATTAGTATTAAGCATATTCACATTGTTGTGCAACCCATCTCCAGAACTTTTTCATCTTGCAAAACTGAAACTCTGTACCCACTGAACAAGAACAGCCCCTGGCAACTACTGTCCTACTTTCTGTGAATCTGACTACTCTAGATAACTCATACAAGTGGAGTCATACAGTATTTGGGGGTTTTGTGAGTGGTTTATTTCACTTACCATAATGTACTGAAGGTTCATCCACATTATAGCATGAGTCAAAATTGCCTTCTGTTTAACGCTGAATAATATTTCATTGAATGTATATACCACATTTTGCTGATCTATTCATTTGCTGATGGACCCTTAGGTTTCTTCCTACCTTTTGGCTATTGTAAATAATGCTATTAACACGAGTGTGCAAATATCTCTTCAAGACCCTGCTTTCAGTTTTGGGGGCCTATATCCAGAACTGGGATTGCTGGATCCTAAGGTAATTCTATTTTCAATTTTTTGAGGAACCATCATACTACTTTTCAGGGGCTGCTCCATTTTACATTCCCACCAGCAGTGCCCAGGGTTCCAGTTTCTGCACATCTTTGCCAACATTTGTTATTTTGTTTTTTTAAATAGTAGCCATTCTAATGGTTATGAGGTGATACCTGTGGTTTTGATTGGCATTTTCCTAATGATAAATGATGTTGAGCATCTTTTCATATGCTAGTTTGCCATTGTATCTTTGGAGAAATATCTATTCAAGTCCTTTTCCCCATTTTTCAATTGGGTTATTGTTTTTGTTGTTGTTGTTAAGTTGCTTAAAAACCTTTTGATGTGTTTTCAAGCATACACAAAAAATAGAGTTGTTTAAATGAATCCTCATGTATCCATTACTCAATTTACACCAGTTGTCAACATTTTGCTAATCTTTTTTGTATACCTTCCTCCCACATACACCTTTAATGCAATATTTTAAAGTAAATTCCAGACATTAGGTATTTTATCCATAAGTATTTCAGAATATTTTCCCAATAGATGACTATTTTAGAAGCTTAAACCAATACAATTATCATGCATACCAAAATTAATTTCTTGCAATTATCTAATACCCAGTTCATGTTCAGTTTCCCCCAACTGTGTTAAAATGTCTTTTTGCAGAATGGTTTGTTGCAACCCCTGCCTTTGGGTTGATGTTTCTTAAATCTCTTTTAATCCATAATTCCACCCCTACAGCCATGAATGTGGAGTCTTCCACATTCTAGATTTGTCCAATTTTGTAAACTGCTCCCTTAGGTTCATGTGGAGGAGCAGACTGGGGGCCCAGGGGTGGGAGGGAGAGTGGCAGTGGATAGGGAAACTAGGAAGGGGCTGTTACAAAAACCCACCCAGGAGAGGACAGAGGCTGGGTGCGAGGGACAGCCAGGGTGGGAGAGGTAGGCTGATGCCAGGTGTTTAAAAGATGGAGAGCCTAAGGAGTGGATGTGGTGAGGAGGTAGAGAGCCTGGTTGGGAGGCTGGGCCAGATTCTGGCCCAGGGGAGGCCGAGATTTGGAGTCCGTGGACCTCGGGTGTTTGTGGGGCGTGTCTGTAGCGAGGACCTGATATCGCTGACCACCCCCCCTCGGCAGGTTCCCACTGAAGGATGGCCCCCGGCTGCAGGCCTGGTTGAGGCACATGGGCCGGGAGCACTGGGTGCCCAGCTGCCATCAGCACCTGTGCAGCGAGCACTTCGCCCCCTCCTGCTTCCAGTGGCGCTGGGGTGTGCGCTACCTACGGCCAGATGCTGTGCCCTCCATTTTCTCCCGGGCGCCGCCCGCCAAGGTGAGCTCAGGGAGGTCCCGCTGCTGAAGTCTGATCCCCAGGCCTCCCCTCCTGCGGGAAGTCCCTCCTGGAGTCTGACTCTCAGCCCCCCCTCCTAAGAGAAGAAGTTCTTCCCTGAGGTCTAGCCTTACTGAGGGAAGTCCTTCCTGGAGTCTGATCCCGAACCCTCCACTCCTGAGGAAATCTCCCTTGGAGCCCAGCCCTGATGTCCCCCACCCCCACCCCGTGCTTTGTCTTCCAGAGGCAGCAGAATGCCCGGAGCGCCGAGAAACCAGTCCTGCCTGCGCCTCCGCAGGAGGCCACGTCCCAGTCCCCTGCCCCAGCGGTCCCAGCGTCTGGCCCTGTACACCTTGTGGTGCTGGGGCCAGCATCCGGAGGCCCCGAGGCCCCCGCCACCGTGTTCCTGACGCCCCTGCCGGCTCCCAAGGGGCCGCGCCCTGGAGTCTCGGCCCAGCACCCCCGGGCGGGGCTGGGCGCGGCGCTGGGAGCGCTGCAGCGGCGGGTGCGGCGGCTCCAGCGGCGCCACGAGCGGCACCAGGCGCAGCTGCGGGCTCTGGAACAGCTGGCGCAGCAGCTGCGCGCCGAGAGCCTGCTGGCGCGCGCGCGCCGGGGCCTGCTGTGCGCGGTGAGTGCCCCCGCCTGGCCCACCCGCCTGCGGTCCCCTTTATACCGGAGTCCAGTCCTTAGAACATTTCACCCGTGTTTCCAAATTTCGGGCTTGAAAAAACCGATCTGGCAATGGCAAGCAACTATCGGTAGGAGCTGAGTAGTGGCCGCCCCGTTTATTAATAATAATATTTAAGAAGCCTTTATTCTCTGCCAGACATAGTTAATAACTCATTGAAAGCTCTCCATGACCTTGATATTGCTCTTGTGCCCATTTTCCAGATGAAAAAACCAAAGCACAGAGTGGTCCAGTATTTTGCCCAAAGTCAGTAAGTGGCAGAGCAGGGATTCAAACCCTGGTGTCTGGCTCCAGAGGAGGCCTGTGCTCTTCTCTTGGAGGGCTCCCTGCCTGGCAGGTAAAGAACTTGAGTCTGCAACTCTATCCTAGTCTTCCGGGCCGGATCTAAGGACCCTTTGCCCTTCTATTTTACCGCTGAGTATTTTCCAGGGCTGGGGGTTGGGGGGATCGTGTGTTTAAAAATCAAAGTTTAACCAGGTGTGTTCCCTGCTTCAAACTCCAGGGTCAAGCTTGAGGTCCCAGGTCCCAGGTTCCTGCCTGGACAAGGGAGGTGGGAGGGGGTTTCAGAAAGCCCCTGAGGTCCCTCGGTAGCTGACACCAGTGGGTTGGACCTAGCCCACAGACATGAATTATTTGGCCTCTACAATGCTTTAAAACATTTTCTGGTCTTTCCTGAAGGCTCAGCAGACCTAGCAGCAGGGAGTTCCTATCCCCAGACAGTAGCAGTCAGCTGGAGCTCCAGTGGCTGCCCCTGGAGACCGGGGCCTGAACCATGCCGGGGCACAAGAGGGACACACAGTGGGGCGAGGACAGAACTCAGACCCAGGCCTGGGGCTCTTCACCGAGCCTGCTGGGGCCCCTGGGCTGACAGCGTCTTTCTCTGCCTCTCCTGCCCCCATTCCATCCCTGTCTCCCCAATCTCTTCCTCTCTCCCCCACATTCACCTTTGTCTTTCTGCCCCCCATCTCTCTGTCATCCATTTATCTTCCCCCTTCCCCATGTCTCTCTTCTTCTGTATCTTTGTCTCATATCTATGTCCCTGTCTCTCTGTGCCTACATTTCTCCCATCCCCCATATCTCTCTCTCCCTGTCTTTGTCCCTCCACATCTCTCTCCCTGTTTTCCCACACCTCTTAATTCCCTCCTGAGTGTCTCTCTGATTCTCACATCTCTTTCCTCACATCTCTTCTGTTTCCTGACACCCTCCCTTCCATCTCTACCTCCCTGTTTCTCACCATTTCTCCCCCTGCCCAACCTTTTCCTTCCCTCCTTCCCTCCTCTCACTTCCCTCGTTCCCCTGTGTCCTCCATCTCTACCACTTCTTTGCCTGGGCGGCCTAGCACCCTGGACCTGAGGAATCCCAAGCCTTCACCATCATCTGTGGAGGGCCCGAAATAGCTGTGGTCCTTGCCCAAGGTCCTGCACCTCCCACACTGGACGCCAAGCCTGAGCTCCTGGACACTCAGACTCCCAGTGTATAAGCACCAGGACAGAGAATGTCGTGGGACAGATGATAGAAGAGAGAGGAAGAGAGACGCGTCGCACATGGAATTGGCCCAGTCCCACCACCCATGCCGGGGGCATAGTAGTGCCTCCCTCCAGGGCCTGGATCCCACCACCTCCTCTTATGAACCCCTTGCACCTACCTTAGGGCCAACCTGGGCCTAAGACCCGACCCCTGTCAGCAGCGATTACGTGGATACCAGATCCCTGCCAACCCCAGCTTGAATCTTTGCAGTCAGCAAAACATCCTCTGAGTAGAGCAAGGGTTGAGTGTTTGGGGAGAGTTGTACCTGGTTTTGAAGAGCACCTCATACCCTTTGCTGAGCCTGGTGCCAAGCTGGGGATATGGCAGTGAACACAGCTGACAAAAATCCTGTTCTCATGGTGCTCACATTCTGCTTGAGTAGAAGATGAACTAGTAAACTAATAAACAAGACAATTTCAGATTGTGATTAAGTGCTATAAAGATGAATGAAAATGTAATGGGCTGTGGGAGGGGGAGGACTGTCTTAAGGAGAGTGTTTGAGCGGAGACCGGGATGATGAGAAGGAACTGGCCTAGAAGTTCCAGGGAGAAGAACCCCTGCACATGCCCCAACATCTACGGTGTAAACTGGGGAAGGGCAGCATTGCTATGGAGAACACTAAAGCAGGGAAGGAAGTGAGTATGTCGAGGGGAAAGGGGGAGTTGGGATGCAATTTTTGATGGAGCAGAGAAGGTCTCATTGAAAAGACACCAATAAGCAAAAACCTGAGAGGAGAAAGGGAACCAGGTATCTGGGGGAAGAACATTCCAGCAGAAGGAAGAGCCGGTGTGAAGGCACTGGGGTGAGGAGGAGCAAGTGAGGTCAGCGTGGCTAGAGTGGAGTGAGAGGAGGTGAGATTGGAGAGATAATGGGAAAGTTCATATAGGGTCTTGTGCGCTGTGGTTGGGAACATTGGCTTTTACCTGGAGTAAGGTCCAGAAAGCAGATACCTCAAGGAGGACGCTGATGTAAAAGGTGTTCCTAGGTACCTATAGCTGCATATGGGGTGGGCGTGGTGAGGAGGGAGCAGGGAGAACAGGGGAGGCTGCTGCCATAGTCCAGGTGGTAGAGATGAAGGAAAGACCAGGATGAGGGCCTGGGGTTAGGGGTGAGGGATGAAATTCTGGAAATATTTTTGGTGGAGCTACTGGGCCTGCCCATTAGAAGGATGAAGGGTTGAAGGCAAAGTCAGCCGTTCTTGTTCAGGTTGGGAAGATTGTGGGCAGTGCAGGCTAGAGACAGGTATGACAGCTAAGCCATGACGATGGAAACAAGAAAGCCTGGGCCCTGGGCTGGCTCCTGGAGGCCCTTCTGCGGAAAGGGTCCACTGGCAGATCTATCCCCTAGACACCGCCAAAGCCATGTAGCATGGGGACTAAAAGCCCAGACTCAACAGGTAAGCCCCTTGGATTCAAGTCTTAACTCCATCACCTACTTGCTGTGTGCCCTTGGGCAAGTGGCTTAACTTCTCTGGGCCTGGTAAGTGCGGTGTGGTTACTATGCGATGATAATGACAATGAAAATGATCTCTACAGAATCATCTGAGACATCCCTTGTATACGGCGAGCATGGGGAGGGGATCAGGTCTGATATGTGAGGGAGATAAAATACCCATCACCATCACACACCGAGACCTCTACCCTAACTGGCCTGGTTCGGGGCCCGCGAGAAGGCGCTATCACAGCGGGATGGGCAAAACGAACTGTACCCATTTTCCCATCCCTCTCTTTGCGCTCTTGTCCCTGCTTCATCTTTCTCCTTCTGTCTCCATGTCTCACATCCTTCTTCGTGGCTATTTCTTCTTCCTCTCCCCATCCTAGGTGTCTATCCCCTTTGCATCGCTGCCTCCAGCCCTTTCATCAATGCGAACAGCCTGGCGGTATCTCCGCCCCCGCGCCTGGTTGGGGGTGACACAGCGCATGCGCCGTCAGCGCCCCTCCCTCTCCACCCCCACCCCTCTTCGGCGTCTGGGCCTCGTCCCCTTCTCTCTGTCTCCTTCTCCCCCATCACTTCTCCCGGCACTGACACCCCATTACTCCAATTCCCCGGGTCTCAGCTTTGGTCTCCAGCCCCATCCACCCGAGGTAAGCTGGGTAGAGGGAGGCCTGCGGAGAAGGGGAGGGGCAAAGCATCCTGCATCCTGAGATAAACAAACCCGGGGAGGGGGCGGCCTATACTGAGGGGCCTGACGCGGGAGAAGAATGGGAGACAGGACCGGGTAATGGAAGTGGTAGGCGCTGGACCCATATACCAGGGTCCTCTGATGGATGACTGGCGTCTCTGTGATGCCCCCAAATCCAGAGCTGGGGGCGTGGGAGCCACCCGGAGCCCTGGAAGCGTCTGGGGTCTCAGATTCCAGAGACCGTGGGGCACCCTCTCTAGCTAACCTCTGCCCCTAGGATTTGCCTGACGGCTGCCCCCAACTCTGCACCTGCCCCCCTGAGGGCCACCAAGGACCATGACTAAGACAGATCCCGCCCCGATGGCCCCTCCGCTCAGGGCGGAGGAAGAAGAGGAGGAGGAGGATGAGCCTGTCCCGGAGCCCCCCAGCCCCACCCAGGAGCGCCGGCAGAAGCCTGTTGTGCACCCCTCGGCACCTGCCCCCCTCCCCAAGGACTATGGTAACCACCCTCCCCACCCTGCAATATGGCCTGGAGCCTTGGGTGGCCAGGGAGGTTTGGCTGAACTCTGCTGGTGGAGATGGTGGGAGGATTCTGGAGCATTTGATGATGGTCTGGAGGAGTCATGGCCCTTGGATCCCCACCCCCTTCATTAATTCATTGATTCACCCATTGGAGAATAGAATTGGGATAATCCTAATCTTTGATTCATGACACATCATTCAGTCATTTAGTCATTCAACAAACATTTTTGAACGCCTGCTGTGTACCTCGGAGCTAGGGGCACAGCATGGAGCAAGACAGACCCAGTCTTTGCCTGAGAGAACTCACAGGTGGCCTCAATAATGACTGCACAAATAAGTATAACGATATAAGTATATAATTACAAGACGTGATGAGAATTGTGTTTGCCAAGAACAGGATTCTACAAGAGCTTTTTAAGATATGGTTTCCCTGAGGAAATAACATTTAAGGGAGACCTAAGGATGAGTTGGGGGTTAACAAGGGAAAGGCTCAGGGGAAGGGGGTTACCCAGGGTAGATTACCACAGGAGTAAAGTCTCCAAGAATGTAGCGCTGAGAGGGTGGCCTCTTGGAGAAACTGAAAGTGTCTACTCATTCACCAAGCAATATTTATCCATCATGACTACTCTGACAAGTCTTGTGCTGGGAGATGGTGACTTAATGGTGAGCAATCCAGGCATGATACCTGCTCTCAGGAGAGAAGGTGAGACTAAACAAGTAACAAATGAATCAGATAAGTTCAGATGAGTGAATGTTATGAAAGAAATTAAAAGGTGGAGATATAATAGAGAATGGCTAGGGGGCAGCATCTTGACGCAGAGTGGTCAGGGTGGGTCTTTCTGATGAGGTGGCATTTGGGTTGAGACCCAGAGCACGAGGAGGAATCAGCCATAGAAGAGCTGGGGAAAGAGTGTTCCAGGCTGTAAGTGGCAAGTGCAAAAGCCCTGAGACAGCATTGAGCTTGAAACAGAGAAAAATCATGGTGCTACACTTAGGGAGTGAAGGGAGTTAAGGTCAGAGGTTGGCAGTGCCTAGGTCTGGAAGGACCTTAAAGGCTACTATGAGGACTTTAGATTTATCCTGAGTGTGATGAGGGAAGAGCAGTTGTAGGGGGTGGGTATTTGAAAGCAGACAGGTGGCAGGTCTGATTTATATTTTTAACAGCTCCCTCTGACTACTGAGCAGGAAAGGTGGAGCTCAGCCAGGATTGAATACAGGAAGGGCTTTTAGAAGATGCTGGCTGGGAATCCCCAGCAGCTGTAAGTTCAGAAACTAGATTCCAAGTTTTGAGAGTAGGCATCACCAGGATACGGCAGGAGGGATGACATCTATGGACATGTCACCCACTAGAGGTGGGTCGGGGTCAGGGAGGCCACAAGTTGCCCTCAGTCTGATAGAAAAATAAGAACTTTATCTGGGTGTCCGGGGTTGGGTATTCACCCCAGGAAACTGGAAAATCTTCTCTGGAAATGTGGCTGGGGACTGTGGGCCAGAGGGGAGTCTTAAAGAGTCTAGGGTGCCTGTCCCCTGCCCCCAGAATCCTGCCTGTAGAACAAGGAGGGTTTGGTTACAGAATGCGAAGGAATCTGAAAATATGATCTAGGACAGAGAGAAGGCTAAGGTGGATTCCAAAAGAAACTTGTGTATTTATTTATGAAATTTGTACATTAATACCGTCAAGGCTGACTGAGCATCTAGTACCTTCCAGGTGCTGTCCTGGGCCCTGCAAATGAGGGAGTGAACACGGCAGCATGGAATTAGCCAAGTGACATTTTTAAAGAAATAAAGAAGGGCAGAGGTGCTGATTTAGCCAAGACGGTCTGGGGAGGCCTCTCTGAAGCCTTCAGAAGATCTGAGAGTAGACTGGCCCAGGCAAGAAAAACAGCAAGCACAAAGCCCTGAGACAGGAATTTGTCGGGCGAGTTGGAAGGACAGAAGGAGGCCAGTGTGGCTCGAGGGGGATGAGTGAAGGGGGAGAGGGCAGAGAACAGAGGAGGCCAGTTTGTGCAGGGCCTGCGGGCTGGCATGAGGACTTCGGTTTGTAATCTGAGTGTGATGGGAGCCAGGGTTTCCAGCCAAGGAGAGCTGTGCTGTGACTGGGGTTTTAAAAGGCTTATTCGTGGAGAACCCTCCTCCGCAGCTCTTCCCTGGGCTCTGTATCATCTGGTCATTCATTTGCTCATCCATTCAACGTGCGCTGCGCTCCTGCCCTGTGCCAGGCCCTGTGTTGGGTGCTGACCTTACTACAGAGTCTTAAGAGGGGAGATGCAGTTCCTCGGGGCACCACCCTGGCTAGTCACAGCTTGGACCCTGCTCATGGATACGTTTTGAAAAATTGGGGGAGGTTTCTCTTAAAAACTGTGATCTCTGGCTTTTTAATTTTCTTTACTCTGGAGATCTGGCGAACCTGTGCCCATACTCTGACAGGGCAACAGGGGCCAGAGCAGCAGCAGCCGCTGTTGGGCATGCTGGGCACCCCCTCATTTCAAGGGGTGGAGTTTGCTGCTACATAGGAATTGCCTGATCTTCCAGTTTTTCCAGACATGCTGGGCACCCGCATTTTTAGGTGAAACCCTCCCAATTTTGAAACCCCGTGCTGGCCACACAGAAAATGCCTGTGGCCCACGTGCCACCAGTTTGAGACCCTGCATTAGAAGGTCTTAAAGGCAAAGACCTAGAACTCCCCTGCCTCAGGATGGAAGGACGGGGTCACTTTGCCTGGGTGACCTCGGACCTCTCACTACCCCAGCCTTCACCTTCTTCGACCCCAACGACCCTGCCTGCCAGGAGATTCTGTTTGACCCGCAGACTACCATCCCTGAGCTGTTCGCCATTGTGCGCCAGTGGGTGCCCCAAGTCCAGCACAAAATCGATGTCATTGGCAATGAGGTAAGAACGCTGGGGAAGCCAGGGAGGAGACAGTGGGGTCCTTCACGTGTTTGGGTAACCCTCCTTGGTCCCCTGGTACTCCCAGATTCTGCGCCGAGGCTGCCACGTGAATGATCGTGATGGGCTGACTGACATGACACTGCTCCATTATGCTTGCAAGGCTGGGGCTCACGGAGTCGGTGAGGTTACCAATCCCCAAACCACAAACCCAAAACCTAGGCTCCCACACCCGACACCTTCAGAACCCTGCCCGTGGACCCCCAATCTGAACCCGCAGCCTAAGATCCCAAAGCGTCTTCCCCATGCGCTGGGTCCACACTCTAGAGGAAGGGACCCAAGCTGACCCGGGCTGTCGCGCAGGGGACCCCGCGGCGGCTGTGCGCCTCTCTCAGCAGTTGCTCGCGCTGGGCGCGGACGTGACCCTGCGCAGCCGCTGGACCAACATGAACGCGCTTCACTACGCGGCCTATTTCGATGTGCCCGACCTCGTGCGCGTGCTGCTGAAGGGCGCGCGGCCCAGAGGTGAGGAGGAGGGGCTGTGCTGGGAGGGGGCAGGACCTAGACGAGGAAGGGGATCTGGAAGCAGAAGGAGGGTGCCTGGATGTGGGGAAAAGAGACGTGATGTGAAGCAGGCAGGGCAGGTGAGTGATGGGGCCTGGTGCGAGATACGGGTGGGAGGGGAGGCCACAGGCAGGAGGTTGGCCAGATGGGGCTCAGTGGTCCATAACCCCATGGCCTGGCAGGAGCTGGTCAGGAGGGGAGTGGCCAAGGAGGGCAGGGCTCTGCGGTGGGGCGGGGCTCTGCAGCAGAGGCTGCGAGAGGCACTGAGGCCTGTGGTTTAAGAGGTGGATGAAGAGATGGACTTCCAGAGGCTGGAAGGTACCAGGAGGGCTGGGGTGCCAAGGGCGCTCACCCGGAACCCTCCTCTCACCCACTTCCCAGTGGTGAACTCCACGTGCAGTGACTTCAACCACGGCTCAGCCCTGCACATCGCTGCCTCCAACCTGTGCCTGGGCGCGGCCAAATGCTTGCTGGAGCACGGCGCCAACCCAGCGCTTCGGGTACTGCCACCCTGGCCCAGCCCTGTTGTCTTCCTTCTCCTTCTTCCCCAATCCCTTTCCCGGCCAGCAGGCCTCTGGTGGGGAGGGGGCAGGACCACTTCAGTTTCTTGAAGCTCTCAAAATATGGCAAAAATCATCTATACATACAACAAATGTAACAGCTGACATTTACTTAGTGTTCATGATATGTCAGGTGAACCCTGTTTTGAGCCCTATATTACAATGGAGAAACTGAGGCAGAAAAAGTGATTTGTCCAGGGTCACCCTGCAAGGAGTATCTTCTTTAAATCTGGGCTGGACCCATGGCTGTGTGTACACAGAGACCCTTGGCCCCCCATAAGCCCTCAGTATGATCTTTGACCCCGACCCATCCATTTCCAGGTCCTATCCCCAACGTCAGTTTCTCTGCAGCATCCCAGGCACAGATATTGCAGGGGGACATGGCCTGCGCCCCTGAGGTTCTGCCTCTCTTCATTCTGCATTGGCCTAGCTGGACCCCTGAGCCAGTACCATACAGTACCATTTTCAGTGTTTGTCCTTCACATGGTCCCATTCCAGGCTTGGGGTCTTGGCCTTGAGGCCGTGACCTACAGCTCCGAAGTGGGACCTTCATTCCCTATTGGCTCCACCCCAGTCCCACCCTCAATTACTTGACACCCCCAGCCTGAGGTCTTGAGTGGACTTCCCTGGGGACCGTGGTCTACACCTTAATGTCCCACCCCTTCTATTTCCATGGTGGTCCAGGGTATGACCTAGTCCCACCTCTGCTTCACCTAGACCTGGGGTCTCTTGCAGGGGGGAGGGGCTCATTGGGGGTGTGGATTACATCACTGAGTTTTCGCCTTCTCTCTTCATGTTGCTGCCCAGAACCGAAAGGGACAGGTGCCAGCGGAGGTGGTCCCAGACCCCATGGACATGTCCCTGGACAAGGCAGAGGCAGCGCTGGTGGCCAAGGAGCTGCGGACACTATTGGAGGAGGCCGTGCCACTCTCCTGTGCCCTCCCCAAGGTCACACTACCCAACTATGACAACGTCCCAGGCAATCTCATGCTCAGTGCACTGGGCCTGCGCCTGGGAGACCGCGTGCTACTGGATGGCCAGAAGGTCAGGGACTAGAGCAGGGATGGGAGGGCCGGGTTCAGCCCTCATCCCTCAGAGATGGGTCCTTGGGCAGAGTGCAGCCTCTCCCCTTTGTCTGCCCACCCTCCTGGTCATTCACACAGTATTGATTTCACCTCACAGTTGCTCTGTGAGTGCCTCCTTTGTGACCCACCCTAGGCTGAGCTCTCAGTCCATGTTGGAAGACAGATCCAACACGTGACAGTGACAGCCCAGAGCAGCTCCACGGCTGCCACGAGGAAGCACAAGCAGAGTGATCAGTGCAGCTCTGCCCCATTTGGGTCCCCCGGGCCTTTTAGTCCCCATGCAGGGCCCACTTGTGCTCCCAGGGTGATCAACACTTTGATTAGGAAAAACGTACAAGTCAGAGTGATCCAGGGTGTGATGGGGAAGACACACTTGAAGATGCAGGTGAGTGAGCCAGGAGAAGAAAGGAAGAAGGGGGGTCTTAGGGAAAGGGAGCAGGTCTAAAGGCCAAGAGGACAGAGAGAATCTTCATTCATCCAGGAATTCCAAGTTTTATTCATTTACCTGGTGTCCCTCAGGCTCCATGCTGGACCCAGCCCATCCTTGGGATAAAGGGCTGTATTGGCCCCAGCCCTGCTCTCAAAGAGTTCCCTTTCTATTGAAGAAGAGACAGTCAATAAAGTAAACCCACAGTTGAGATAATTTCTGGTAGCAACAAGGGCCTTGAAAAGCATTAAATACTTGGATTTAGTAAATTGTCCCTGGCTGAGGGCAGAGGTTGTTTTTAGCTAGGGTGTTCTGAGACAGCTTCTCTGAAAAGCAAGGGTGGTATCTGATTGGAAGGAGCTCATCTTGCAAAAATACGGAGACACAGGAAATAGTAGGTACAAAGGCCTGGAGGAGGGAAGGGGTGGTGTAACAGGGGAGTTACCAAGGGAGGGTGAGGTGGAGAGGTTAGCAGGGGCTGGATGACACCAGACCTGCAGGCCACTGAAATGAATTTGAATTTTGTTTCTTTGTACAGCGAGAAACCCTAAAAGTCACATTTTATTTCCTAATCAAGAGGTTTGCATGCATCAGCCCCATCTAGAAAGCTTCTATACGTGATCTGATCAAATCCATTTGTGACAATTTTGAAAGCAGGATGGGTTGACTTTCCCCATTTTACAACACAGAAGACTGTAAGAGTCTCAGAGAGGTGAAACCCTTTGTCTGAAGACATCACAATCTCTGCCCATAGAGGAGCAGCAGAGCACAATGGTTATAAGCTCAGGCTCAGGGATTTGCTCAGGCAAATCTTAGCTTTGCCACATACTAGCTGTGGGGCTTGGGGCCAGTGATTTCACCTCTCTGGACATCAGTTTCTTCATCTGTAAAATGGAGCTAACAGTAGCCACTTCAGCAGGTCATATGAGGTTTAAATGAGTTAAAATGTGTAAAGCCCTTAGAACAGGGCTTGATGCACACTAAGTGCCCTTTGTGTGTCAGGCACTGCTCTGATCCCCACACCGCTTCTCCAAAGTAGGCATTATTATTATTTAGCCCATTTTACAGACAAAGAGCTGAGGCTTAGAGAGGTGAGGGAACCTCACACAATGATATTAGTCACACTCAGTGCAGCTAAGCAACTTTGTGTATATCAAAGATGTTTCAACCAGACAACCAGCCGATGAAGTGGACTGTTTTCCCCATTTTCCAGATGAAACTGAGGCCCGTGAGTTATCAAAGTCACAGGATAATAAGAATCAACACTTACTGATCCCTTACTCAGTATCAGACCCTATTCTGAGGGCTTTAATTTCACTATAGCATTCATGTCCAATAGACCTTGTGATGATGGAAATGTTCTGTGTCTGTGTCATCCAGTGCAGTAGCCACAAGCCACCTGTGGCTATTAAGCACTTGAAATGTGGCTACTGTGATTGGGGAAATGATATTTTAATTTAATTTTAGTTAATTTAATTTGCCATATGTGGCCAGTGGCTATTTGCTGCTTCCGACAGGGCAGCTTTGTAATGATCCTATAAGGTGGGTGTGAATTCTGTCCCCATTTTGCAGATGAGGATGTTGAGGCACAGTATGGTTAAGTCATACGGCCAGTGAATGGTGATGTCCAAGCTGAGATTTGAGCCTGGGGCTTCCTCACCTGCCCCACCAGCTGCCTGTGTATCAGTGATCTGTGATGGCCTCCCAAGGCCCACCCAAACTATATCCTCCCTTGTTTCTGCAGACGGGCACACTTCGGTTCTGCGGGACCACCGAGTTCGCCAGTGGTCAGTGGGTGGGCGTGGAGCTGGATGAACCTGAGGGCAAGAATGATGGCAGTGTTGGGGGTGTCCGGTACTTCATCTGCCCTCCCAAGCAGGGTGAGTCCCACAGGGGCTCAAAAGGGTGGTGATGGTTTCCACTCAGTAGTTCTGATGCTGCCAGCTGAGGGGGTTGGGGGGTGATGGCAGGGCAGAGGGCAGAGGCTTGGACAACTCCCAGCCCAGGCTATGTCCCCCCAGGTCTCTTTGCCTCTGTGTCCAAGATCTCCAAGGCAGTGGACGCACCTCCCTCATCTGTTACCTCCACACCTCGGACTCCCCGGATGGACTTCTCCCGCGTCACTGGCAAAGGCCGCAGGGAGCACAAAGGTCAGAGGGGGAGCCCTGGGGCTGAGGAGAGCCAGTCTTGAGCATCTTCTGTGGGTAGCCCAGCTTCCGTGACTCAGTTTCTTCTCAGGCCCAAAGTCCCATTTTAGAGGATGATCTCTGAGTCCCTGACTTCTATGACTTAGTGTCTCCTTTGACTCAGTACCGGCCCCACCTGGTTCTTGGAAGGACCTGTGGGTTCCCTGCCCACTGTGACACAGTTTCTCGTCAGACCCAAAGGTTTTCTCCCAGTTTCAGGGAAGAATCTATGGGGTTCCTGGCTTCAGTGACTTGATTTATTCTCAGACCCAATAGCCACTTCATTGTGAAAGGATAGTTTCTGGGTTCCTGACTTCTGAGACTCAGTTTTTCCTTTGGCTTAAGTAGCCTCAACTTTGAGAAGGAGTTTTGGAATTCTCCAGGTTCTTGACTCAGTTTTCCCTCCGGCCTAAAGCCCCCAGCCCCAGTTATCTGACAACTGGGGATGTTTCCTTTCAAGCTCACCCACCCCCCAATTTGGAGGAAGGCTCTGCTTTTCCTTTGATTGGAACCAGGCAAGAGCTTCTACCTTGTGGCTTTCTGGTGACACAGGGTCCCCGGGGCTGGCATTTAGAGGCCTCTCCCTCACCCCTTGTACCCTCCACCCCCAGGCAAGAAGAAGCCCCCGTCATCCCCATCTCTGGGCAGCCTGCAGCAGCGCGACGGAGCCAAGGCTGAGGTTGGAGACCAGGTCCTCGTCGCAGGCCAGAAGCAAGGGATTGTGCGCTTCTATGGGAAGACAGACTTTGCCCCAGGTGAGGACAGATATCTGGGCTGGGGAGCAGGCAGGACCTCGAGGCATCCTGACACCCTCCTGCCGCAGGTTACTGGTACGGCATCGAGCTAGACCAGCCCACCGGGAAGCACGATGGCTCTGTCTTTGGCGTCCGGTACTTTACCTGCCCTCCGAAGCATGGAGTCTTTGCTCCAGCATCTCGAATTCAGAGGTGAGTCCAAACTCTGATCCCAAAACAGGGCGCCACCCAGAGCCCTGATTTCTCCCTTAGGTGCCCTGGAGGGGTATTCCTCCTCGTGGACCAGGAGGACAGTTTGGATACCCACCCCCACGCCCTAGCTCTTTCCTTGTAGGCTCCCTGGCGCACAGCTCCTGGCCAGACCCTGCCTGACCTCTTGTGGCTCTGACTCCTCCCACCCCTCGTGTCTCCCTAGGATTGGTGGATCCACCGATCCCCCTGGCGACAATGTTGGAGCCAAAAAAGTACATCAAGTGACAAGTGAGTTGGGGGCTGGGTATGAGGAGGAGTGTGGGTTTGGGGATAGGAGGGAAGGTCGTGGGTTCTCAGGTCTATGCTGGAGTAGAATCTCCAGTGTTCATTTGGGACACAGGATCTGGGAAAATGATGAGACAGGATCCCCCAAAGGGTGGGTGCTATGGGGATGGGGATGTTAATGACAAGGCTCTGGGCAGGCACTGGAGACATGGGCAGGTCTTGGAGGACACAGGAAATATTATTGACGACAGGTCTAGATGGCTGTTGGGAATGCCAGCCCACCGGTAAGCATGATGGCTTTATCTTTGGTGTCTAGTGGGATGTGGATAAGTATTAATGACAAGGAGTCTGGGTGGGTATTGATAGACAGGTGGGTCTGCCATCCCCTCACCTGAGACCTTGCCCTTCCCTTCAGTGTCACAGCCCAAACGCACCTTCACAACAGTCCGGACTCCAAAGGACATTGCATCCGAGAACTCCATCTCCAGGTGCGTAGCAACCCTTGGCCCCCTCTCCTGCGGGATATTCAGGAAAAGGCAATCACCAGGCCATTGGACACAGGGGTCTGGAGCTCTGGGTGGGGCTGGAAGTAGAGGTTAGGAAAACTTATGGTGAGTTAGCTTACCCAGACACAGTCTTTACGGAGTGAGGCCCCACACTGAATTCTGGTGACTTCAGCTTTTTAGGGGCAGGTAGAGGAGGCAGAACATCCTCCGCCTCATGGGAGCCTGAGAAGGCATAGCCGGAGAGGCAGAGGCAGAATCCAGAAAGGCCAAATCCCAGACACGTGGGGAAGAGCTGGGGGGTGATGGGTCCAGATGCTCTCACCCGCTGCACCCTGCACCAGGGTGTGACACAGTTCTCTTCCCCAGGTTGCTCTTCTGCTGCTGGTTTCCCTGGATGCTGAGGGCGGAGATGCAGTCTTAGAGGCCCTGGACATCCCACAAAGAGACACAGAGTCCCCTCTAGTGTCTCCTGACACAAGGAGCCCCCGAGTCACCCTGAGATAGAGATTCCCAGTAACACATCCAGAATAGAGACTCCCCCAGTAGCCAGCCCTCGATCACTGAGGCCCCATTATTAACAGATTTCCCCATGATAACTCCCCAAATACAGACCTTGTGTTACCCAGAAAGAGATTCCCTGAGTGTAGCACCTTCAGGCTAGTCCCTATCCCCAACCTCTCAGAGCAGACCCCCTAGTAACAGATTTCCACATCATTCCAAATGACGGTGACTTTCTCTACATAATGCTCCACAACAGAACATTCCTGAGTCACTTGTCACTGGATCAGAACCCTTACCTATTAACAAAGACCCACCCCATCAAGTCCCCTTGAAAGAAACCCCTCCAGAACAACAGGGTAACAAACCCACATTTAATTTCAGTCCCCTCAAGATGCTGTGACCCCTGTGGTCACCCCAAACCCTTACACTACAATCAGAGACCCCCCTCCACTGACAAAAACCCCTGCTCTTACCCCTCAAGAAGAGACCCACATTAACCAGCCCACTGTCACCACCAATTTACAGACACCAAAACAGTCCTGGAAGTGCTAATTACAGGACCCCCAAGTCTTCCTGTCCTCTGTACCCTCAAGAAACCCCCAGTGCCTTGTATGAAGCCCACCCCATGTGGCCCACAGTACCTGTGCTGGCCAGGCTCCCAGAAAATTCTCTATTTTTAAAGCAATTATTTCCCCCTTTGGGGGACCCCAAAATTTGGAGGTCCCATTCTGGGACTCTAAGCATCCTAAACCCCAGATTACATGTCCCAAACTACCCTGTGCCCCCAAGTCCTACATCCCCTAGGAGACCCCAAAGCCCTAACTCCCAGGACCCCCAAATCATGGACTCCCCAAATCCCCAGGGAATCCCAAATTTAAAAATCCAATCCCAAGCCCCCAGGAAACCCTAGTCATGGAGGTCCTTGTGCCTGGGATGGAGGAGACTGCAGTCAGGATATGTATCCCGGGCTCCCAGGGCACCTTAAGTCCCATTCATAGGCCCCAGGAGACCCCAAACAGGAATTCTTATCCCTGGAAAACAGAGGACTTCAGTGCCCTGAGTCAGTAGATCTCAAGACACCCAAATTCCAAGAGCCCTAGCCCCAAGGGAACCCCAAATCCTCAAACCTCCATCTCTAATACATGAAGGGCACCAAGGCCTTGAGGGGATCCCAAATCCTGGAGCCCCCACTATAGTCTACTTTCTGGTCACAGGTCCAAGACATTAAATCTTAAGTTACTGGCCTCGAAGGACCTCACAGCTCCCTGGCCAGACTATGCTCGAGGGAGACCCTGAAGGCCCAGGAGGTCCACGGCAGACCTGGGGCCCTGAACACCAAGGACAGCTCACAACTGCCCCTTCACTGCATGTCCCCCAAACTCAGCATGACCCCGACTCCCTTCAATAAAGACGTTTCTATGGCTCTTTGCGTCGGGTCTGTGTTTGGCGAGTTACGGCCTTGCCTCTGTATCCTTGCTGGGGGAGGATGGCAGAGTAAGTTCATACCTCAAGCTCGCCTCCCTGCGGCTTGGGTATAAGATCGCCTAGTCTGTGGGAAGTCCATCTAACAGTCGCGTTTTTCCTGAGGCCGCCACAGCTGCCCCTCGGCGCTGGGCTCTCTCCGCAGTGTGGACAGGTTCTGTTCTGGCGCTCTGATTGGCCGCTGCCAGAAGAAGACGCGTTTCTGAAAGATCCCCAATGGCTCAGAGGCCAGGAGGTACAGCCTATCACCGAACGAAACTGAAGGGGCGGGGCAATATTGTGTAAGAGCGCCGATTGGGTGGAAGGCGGAGCCTTAGCGCCTTTGAGAACTCCCATTGGTCCGAGGACACTGCGTCAGGCATGTGGGGCGGAAGTGGCTGGGAAGGGAATGGGGGTGTTGAATTTGGAATTTGGAGGGGACACTGGTGGACGGTCAGTTCTTGGGGGTGGCCGAGGGCGGAGATAAGGGTCTGAGAGGGCTGAGAGTGAGGATTCGGAAAAGCTCAGACGGGAGTCCGAGGGAGTTCAAAGCGTGGGATCCAAGGGGTTCAGGGAAGGGAGGTGTGAGGAGTCAGGCTCCGAGTCAAAGGTCCAAGGGTGCTGCAGTGAAGGGCTCTTGGAAAGAGAGGTCTGAGGGGATCCTAGAGTTGGGGGATCCGAGGAGACTGCAAATGGATGTATCTGAGGCTGCTTAGATAGGGGGTTCGAGGGTACTCAGAATGGGGCGTCTGAAAGGGCTTAAGGCGGGAGGAGGGTCCACAAGGACCTTGAATATTGTTAAGAGAGTCGGGCTCAGAGTTGCAGATCCGAAGTTTTTAGGATGAGGTCTTAAATTAAGGTGTCTAAAGGGGCTCTAGGGTGCAGCCCTGGGGGATATGTGTGGTGGAGCTCTTGAGAAAGGCTCCCAATGGACTCAGGGGTTGTTCTCTGCGAGAGCCTTGGGAGGGCAAAATACGTGTAGCCTGATAGGCCTTTGGTGGATGGCGTTTGGGGGAGTGTTCTGGGTATTCATCGTGTCTAGGCAGGGAGCCTGGGGGTGCATTGGGTGGCTTTTGAGATGTTGAGGACTTAGGTTTTAGAAACCAAGTGAGTTTTGCTAGAGGGCTGAGGTGAGGCCCTGGCCCATGATAAGAAACGAAGGCTGGATCATATCCTGAGGGTGGCAGTCTTGGTGGCTTCAGTGTGTTCTCTTTCCACAGAACTGACTGGGTACTCGGAGTTGCTGTTGATGGAGGATCAGGACGCCAGGGTCCCAGCACTGGAACCATTCAGGGTGGAGCAGGTTGTCAGGACTGGGGGTGCAGAGGGTGATGGTGGGGACTAGAGGGTGGGAGATAGAGTGGGGATGGGCAAGCTGACTCCTGGACTTGTGGGCTGGACTGCCCCTCCCTCTAAATTCATTCTTACCCTCAGGGTCCAGCCCCACACCCATCCCCCAAATGGGCATTAGTCCCTTGACTTCAGGCCCTGGCCTGTGTGGGGACATCTTGAGCCTCGCTCTAGAGGAGAGGTTGCTCACTGATGTAAGCACCTCTGTGTGGGTTGAAGGGCCACACCTTCAGGGGGATCTCTCTGTCCTAGGCACCACCTGTAATCTACTATGTCCCTGACTTCATCTCCAAGGAAGAGGAGGAGTATTTGCTTCGACAGGTGACATCAACACCCTTCTGGTCTGTTTTTTTCCCCTCTTCCCAGATCCCTCTCCAACTCCCAGCTCCTATGTGAGAGCCCACAAGGCCACAGTGAAGATCCTGGCAGGAATGAGAGGATCATCCAGCAGCCATCCCTTACCTTCCCTCTTCCTTTCTCAGCACCTGCCTGTCAGAAAGAGCTTTTCCCAGAGGTGTAGGAGAAACCAAACTGATTCTTAGAAAAGAAGTGGTTATGCTGGAGGTCAGAGTCCCTGTGCTGAAACAGCCCAATCCTGCTACCTTAGAGAAGAAGTTACAAACACAGGCTGAGATAGCCCAGTTCAGGCCCTTGGGATTTGGGGAATGAATAATTTACAGTGTTGAGATTTCTGTGCTGAGATAGCCTAGGCCTCAGAAGGTTACAGAGTGAACACTTCCCTGCACCGATAGCTCAGCATAGACCCAGAACCTTGGGAACAAGGTTCCCAAGCACAGAGCACCTGCATTGAGATAGCCCAGCCTATATTCTAGTCTTAAGGTTTAGGGAAAGAAGAATTTACAAAGCTCAGAGTCTTTGCATTATCTTAGTGCCCTTTGCCGCCCCAGACCCTTAGTTACAGAGCACAGATCTTCCCTGTGCTATCCCAGCTAGTCCTGTCTAGTTGGAGTCCCAGAAATGAGTTAGCTACAAAACTCAAGACTCTCCTGCTGAGACAGCCCATTCCAGCCCCATAACCATGAAGGGAATAAGGAGATTATCGAGTGGAGTATAGATTTCTTAAGACTTTTTGAAGACTGCCCATTCTAGACCCTTGGAATATTGGCAGTGGAGAAATTTCAAAGCCCTCTCTTTGCTTTAGGGAGATAGCCTGGTTTAGCACATTCCCTCCTCCAGGCAATAGCAACGAGGAGGTTCTAGAACTCAGACTGTGCTGAGATAGCCCAAGAATCAGGAAATTACAGAGTGCAGACTCTTTGCTGGGATGAAAGAGTCCAGTCCATGCCAGAGCTCTGAGTAGATTCAGACCCCGATTGTGCAGCCCTTGGTCCTTTTCCTCCATCCCTAGACACAGGTGGGCTTTGAGGCCAGCAGCCTCCACACGGCAAAGGGCAAACAAACAAAAAAAATTCCTGGGAACACTATCAGAGAATGAGCCCACAGACACTGAGATGACCCATTTCTATCCCCAGGTGAAAACCCCTATGTTGGCCTGGGTGGGAGAATCAGAGAAGGTGGTCTTGAAAAAGCACTGATCCCCTTCTCACCTCCCAGGTCTTCAATGCCCCAAAGCCAAAGTGGACCCAGCTTTCCGGGAGGAAGTTACAGAACTGGGGTAAGTGTCCTGGCTGTGGGCGGAGTGATTTAGGGATGTGGGCTGGGGAAGGCGACTCAGGTTGGATAGTCTCAGGATGTTGTGAGGGAGGGATGTCCTTGAGAATTCAAGGAGTCCTGAGGGCCAGGAGGATTCTGAGGGGTTAGGGAGGTCCTGATGAGTTGGGTGTATCTTAAAAGGTCCAGGGGTTTGGAGAAGTCAGGAAATCTTTGAAGGGTGGAGTGATCTCCAAAGAGTTTGGGGTCCTTGAGGCGGTCAGAGTGCTACCAACCACTGAGATATCCCTAATGGGGGCTCCACCTGCCAGAGCTCCTTGATTGGGTGCCCTCAGCATCCCATTACCCTTCCCCAGGTGGGCTGCCCCATCCCCGTGGGATGGTTCCTGAGCGGCTGCCACCATGGCTCCAGCGCTATGTGGACAAAGTGTCTGACCTCAGTCTTTTTGGGGGCCTCCCAGCCAACCACGTCCTTGTGAACCAGTATCTGCCTGGGGAGGGCATCATGGTAACCACACTTTCACCCCAACCCCCAGACCTCAGATCTGCCATGGGGCAGGACATCATGTTGACCCTTGTCCACTCTCATTAAGCAGCCACAAACTCCAACCAAGCATTCACCTCCCTGTCCCCAGTTGGGGAGCCCCACTTTCACCCCCGAGGGTGGTGGGTGTGGACTACTGCCCTGTCCAGCCCTGGTGCCCCCTCCCCAGCCCCACGAGGATGGGCCACTGTACTACCCGACCGTCAGCACCATCAGCCTGGGCTCCCACACCATGCTGGACCTGTACGAGCCTCGGCAGCCAGAGGACGATGACCCTACAGAGCAGGTGGGCCCTGAAACGCTGCCGCAGCCACTTATGGGCGCTCTGACATCCCATATCCTCCAAGAGGCCCCAATCCCACCTGCCTGCAGGGTACCACTGATATACTTCTTCCTCTCTACCCTCATGGAGTGCACCCACATTCTCCTAGGTGCATGACCCATCTGCTTGCAGGGTGCCCTAGAAATCATATTAATAGATACCCTGATACCACACCTGCTGAGTGAATACCATGACATCCTCCAAATCCCCTGGCCCCACACATTCAGAGCGCTGCAATGCTGCACTCAGGGCTCCAACAGACATTGGTATCCTCAGATAGCCCAATGCTATTCACTCATGGGTGTCTGACATCTCCCAGACACCCTGACTCTCGATGGCCACTGTACAGGCACCCTAACACTGACCTCCCTCCCACTCCAATAATGTGATCTGCCAGGCATGACACCCCCAAATTCTCCTTGGCACCTCAACACATGACTTGCTGCTCAAGGATCCCCAGATATCCTGCCTCCTTTCTATGAGGGTTGCTCATGACAACAGCTTCCTAGATCCCTTTCTTTGATGCATTTCTGACACCCCCCTGTTCACAGAAGCTCTTCTGGACACCCTGACCCCAGCTGCTCCTTGGGACTTCCCTTTATAATCCTACATGCTCCTGGATACCCTGACACCCCCTCCTCTCTGCCAGTGTCCTCAAACACCCTGATATCCACACAAACGTCACCTGCATCCAGACCATGTCTGCTCATCTCTTCCTCACTTCCTGGCTTCAGCCAAGTCCTCAACCTAGTTCCACCCAGTTTCCTGCGACCTCTGATCCCTCAGTCCCAGCCCCCAGCCCCTTGCAGATCCTAGCTGCAGTTCCCACGGCCTGCAGACCCTTAAGTCATCCCCAACTGCAGCCTAGTTCCTGCCCCTGCCGAGGGCCTGCTGACAACCCTCTCCACTGTCTCCACTTACCCCCAAGCCTGGCCCTGGAACCCTTGGGATTTTCACTCCAAAGCCTCCATCCCTGGGAGGACACTTGCTAACCCTAACCCTAAACCTCAGCCTTTGCCCCTGGGACTCGCTGGCCCTCGCCCTCTGAACCCCCAACCTGCCCACCTCTCCCCTCACGCCCCTCCCCCGTCCCTCGCCCCAACTTCTGAGGACCCGCTAACCTTCAACGTGCCCCGCAGCCCCGACCCCCGCCGCAGCCAGCCACCTCTCTGCTGCTGGAACCTCGCAGCCTGCTGGTGCTCCGTGGCACCGCCTAC